GAGTACGATTTACTTTTAACATATCGGACACAAATAAACCACCCTGAGTATTTAACTCGAAAAAAATTCATTTTTTTTTTTTTTTTTTTTTTAGCAATATGTCTAAAAAAACCATGCTGAGGAGGGTATCTGAATCTCTTGGCTCCTCTCTGGGCCTACCGAGAACTCGCTCTCTCAACTCAGTTATTTCCTCTCCTAAAAAACCAAAAGCATCTTCTACGGTAGCTAAAAATTATGGTGCTTCATATACCTTGGATCGATACTTGACTAACGAGGGTCATAGACTAGTAGCCTCATACTTTCGTTTAAATCAAACACAAAAATATATACAGAAAGGCAGTTTTCACAAAATTACTGAAAAGGAACTTGACGAATTAATAGACTCTTATAATGGCGTCACAACTCGCGCTTTTGAAACGCTGAATTATCAACATTTGAGTTTAACGTTGGCTGAATGCAAATTATTGGCAAAATTATTAAAATATAATGCTATTACAAACATACACACCCTAAATTTATCAAGAAATAGATTGTCGGGTTCTTCGTTAAAGGTGATTATCGAAGCGTTACAAAAGAATACTACGGTGTCCTTCTTGGATCTCTCGTTCAATATGATATCCGATAATGAGTCTAAATGGTTAGGTAAACTGCTAAAAAAGAATACATCAATCAAAGAACTTTCTTTAGCTTTTAATAAAATTGGTTCTGATGGTGCACGGCGTATTTCAAAAGCTCTCAAAATAAATACCACTTTAAAAAGACTTTCTCTGGAGGCAAATAGATTAAATACTCAGGGTGGTTTATTTGTGTCCGATATGTTAAAAGTAAATCGTACTCTCAAATATATTCATTTGGGAAGTAATAATCTTCAATTTGCTGGAATTCAGGGAATCGCTGAAGCTCTTCGGGTTAACGAGTCTCTTGTTAGTTTGAGCCTCGACGTTAACAACATTGCCATAAGTGGTTCTAAATTATTGGCTGATGCCTTAACAATCAATAAAACTCTTACTCATCTTTATATGCCACGTAACAACATAGGTGATGAAGGATTAAAACATTTATGTCAAGCTTTGTTATTAAATACTTCATTAACATATCTTGACGTCGAGTTTAATAACATCGGTATTCATGGTAATACTGAAGGCTCGAGTGTTTTAGGTAAATTGCTCGAGAATCATGTTGTACCTCGCGCGATTAATCTATCTCATAATCCAATCGGTAGCAGTGGTTGTGAGGCTCTTTTTGTTGGTTTTCATAAAAATAAGACCTTGGAATCGATGGTACTTTCTTATTGTGGCATTGGCTTGGAAGGAATCAATGCGATAGCTGAAGCGTTGAGATTAAATCAGAGTTTACAAAATCTTTCCCTTTATAAGAATAGTAATATCGGTGCTGATGGACATTTAGTTTTGGCTAAAGCTTTGGAACAAAATACAAATTTAAAAAGGGTACAATTAGACTACAATTTCGAGGATTGGGGGGCAGTCGGAAATTTAATACAAGGCTATTTAACAAGAAATATTCTTCTTCAACAAGAAAAATATAACGTAGCTTGTCGAATTCTGAAAGCTGCTAGGATTATGTTAAACACTTCTGCATACCGTACCACAACTATCAGCAATTCTATTCCTTTAGCAATTTCTCGTCGTAGCCTTTCAATCAGATCAAACATATCTAACTCTATCACTCTGTCGTCGCCTTCTGTCATATCATTTATGTATCTGCCCTTCGAAATTCAGGAAAACATCTTAGTTTCGCTTGACACTAATCAAGTGCTTACTCAACATCAAGTTATCATAATTTTAAATTGGTCGGTGAGGAAAGATACTCTTGGAAAAAGCATGGAAGAATTTTTGACAAGGACTTTTGGTGCTTATTATCCGTTAACTAATGATGTTAGACTTTGGCCAATCGAGGCTAATGATAAAGATGCTTTGATCTTTGATCGATTTTAAGGACTATCGCTAATGTGGTTATTTATTGTCGCAGATCATAATGAAATCGGATTAAAATGAAATGAGGGGTTTCTATTTGATCCTCTAAAACCCATTTATACTTGTTTATTATAAAACCTGCCTCTAAACCCTAATCCTAACCCAAAAAAATGCTAAAA